ATGCTTTTACCCTATGGTTAAAAATCAAACTTCCATTATTCGAAGGTAAGAATCCTAGAGGATAGTTAAGAAAATGTCATAAGTTTTTTACCATTTTTGGAGTATCAGATCATCAAAAAATAAAGAAAGCTAATATGTATTTAGCTGGTATGGCACAAATCTAGTTTGATGGATACTTGATTCAAAAACCAAGATTTACATGATAAGAATTTTCTAATGATCTCTACCAAAAATTTTGTGATAAGACCTATTCAGATGTGATTATGGAATTCAACAAGCTGACTCAAAAAACTATCATGAAAGAATATCAAGAGAAATTTGAAAAGCTCGGTCGTTCGTACTTCAGAATAACTCTCATTTAGATGAATTATATTTTGTATCTAGTTTTATAAATGGTTTAAATGAAGATCTCAAACTAAGAGTTAAGGCTAATGAGCCTCTAACTTTGGTAACAGCCTATAGTTAAGCTAAATTATACCAGCTAGCCTTAGAAGTTGAATACAAAAGAAATAAACCACCTACTAAACCTAGTTCAACCAATAACACCTATACTCTTTTTAAAAATTCTCACAACTTTTGGTCCCAACTACACAAAGTCACCCTTAATACAACATCAACTATATAGAAGCAACTCTTAAAGCAGAGAAAATTGTAAAACTTGTGCTTTAAATATGGTAAAAAAAATTTTCCTGGCCACATTTGTAAGAATAAACAGTTGAACTTTATAATGGTGGAGAAATTTTCAGAAGAAAAAAAAGATGATGAGGAAACAATTGACAATAGTCAGGATATTTATAATGAAGTAGACCAAAGAGATGGTAATTTGGAAATCTCTATCAATGCACTAACAGGTAGCATTAGGTGCAACACGCTAAGGATAAAAGGAAATATGAAGGATAAACCTTTAAATATACTTATAGACAGTAGGAGTACTCATAATTTTGTGACTTCTAGATTGGCTAAGGATAGGGTAGAGTTGACATGTACTAATCATTTGGCTATAACTGTGGTTAATAGTGAGAGGTTGTATAGTACAACCAAATATAAACAGCTTGAATAGATAATGTAAGGGAATAATTTACTTATGATCTAAGAGTTTTGGCACTAAAGGGTAGTGACATGGTGCTTGGAGTTGATTGGATGAGGAAATATAGTCCTCTTGTATTTGATTTCAATTACATGTCATTGAGTTTTAAAAAAAAGGATAAGAAGTCATAATAACAGATAGTCCTAGTAAAGCTAGCCTAAAGCTTATTTTTGGAGATAAATTACAGACACTAGGCCATAAAGATCCTGAGATGCTGAAGGAAATGCTCATGATTAGTGGGGAGTGTAATGATGTAGAAACACTAGCTATGCTTAAGCCAATAATAACTTCCTACGATGACATATTCATGGAGCCTACAAGATTACCGCCAAAGAAAGTGCAAGATCATAACATACCCTTAAAACTAGGCTTTCAACCTATTAACCAAAGACCTTACAGATTCAACCATTATCAGAAGAATAAGATTGAAAGGCAAATAGCAAAAATGTTATCTTCCTCTATCATTCAAACCAGCAAGAGCCTTTTTGCATCTCTATGTTTGTTAGATAAAAAAAAAAGGATGGCACTTAGAGGATGTGTATCGACTTTAGACAATTAAATGTAGTGATAGTGAAACATAAATACCTATACTGAAATATCTCAGAGATGAGCTGAAAGAAGCCCATTACTTTTCAAAAATAAACTTCAAATTAGATATTGGCAGATAAGGGTGAAAGAATATGACATTTACAATATAGCCTTTAGAGCTCATCATAGGCATTAAAAATTTAAGGTAATGCCATTTGGACTTGCCAATATACCTACAACTTTTTAGTCTCTCATGAATGATATATTTGTTTTTTACTTGAGAAAATTTGTGTTGATATTTTTTGATGATATTCTTATTTATAGTTCTAACTTGAGAGAACGTGCAGAACATTTAAACGTTATATTTGCAATATTGAGAAAGAACACATTATGTACAAAACGAAACAAGTGTTTTTTTGGTTAAAGGCATGTTGAATATTTGGCACATATCATATCAGCTGAATGGGTATCTACAGATCTTACTAAGGTAAAGGCAATGCAAAATTGGCCACAGCCTAAGAGTCTTAAGTTTTTTAGAGGATTTCTTAGATTGACTGGATATTATAGGAAGTTCATAAAAAGCTATAGGGAAATCAGTAAGCCACTCATAAATATGTTTAAAAAGAATGGGTTCAAGTAGGACACCTACCGCAGTATCAAATTTTAATCGACTCAAGGAGGCCATATGTTCTACCCCTATCATGGCATTGCTTGATTTCGATAAACCTTTGATATTAAAAACTAATGCTAGCAACAATAGGATTGGATTTTTTTAATCCCAGGATGGAAAGCCAATAGCTTACTTAAACAGGCTTTAGTTACTGACACAGAAAACCTTTCTATTTATGAAAAAGAGTATCTAGCCATACTAATGGCAGTAACAAAATGGAGATACTAGTTGGAAGAAAAACCATTCATTATCAAGACAGATCATGAAGTCTTAAAACATTTGCTTAAGTAGAAGTTGACCACCATTATTCAAAAAAGAGAACTAACCAAATTACTTAGGCTGGATTACTCTATACAATATAGAAAGGGCAAGATGAATATAATAGCAGATGCCCTATCCAGGTAGCATAAGGAGGAAACACTAAGTTATAGCTTGCAATCAACTATATTTATACTAGAATAGCTGAAAGAGATCGAGTATAGCTATAATGGTGATACAGTGGCACAAAAGTAAATTAAGGCTTCTATCATCTATCTTTTAATAGTTTTTACTATTCATTCAGCAATGGAGTTTTGAGATTTAAAAAGAAAACGTGTATAGGTAATAGTAGGCAGTTAAGGGAGAAAATTTTATAAGCCTTACATGATTCACTTTAAGGGGGCATTTAGGAATTAAAGCCACCTACCACAAACTTAAATTGAATTTTTATTGGCCTAAGATGAAAAAACAAGTCCATGAGTATATCTAATAGTGTGATACCTATCAAAGGAACAAAGATGAGCATGTTTCTTATCCTTGTTTTCTATAGCCAATTATTATACCATAGCAAAATTGGGATGTAATTAGCATGGATTTTGTTGAAGGGTTGCCCTTATTTAAAAAATTTAGTTGTATTATGGTGATAGTGGATAAATTCACTAAGTATAGTCACTTTCTTCATTTATTCCATCCTTATACAACTATGGAAGTAGCTGAAATATATCTCAACCAAGTTCATAAACTACATGGGACTCCAAGAATTACTATTTTTGACAAGGATCCTGCCTTCATTAGTTTGTTTTGGTAGGAGTTGATGAAATTATTGGGAACTACAGTTGATCTGAGTATAGCCTACCATCCAAAATCTGATGGGCAAACCTAGAAGGTTAATCAGTGTTTAGAGTAGTATTTACAATGTATGTGTTTTCTCAAGCCTAAGAGTTGGGTTCAATGGCTACCGTTAGCCAAATTGTGGTATAATACAAGCTATCACACTTTTTTGAGAATGTTTCCATTTCAGACTTTGTATGGTTATAAACCACCAACCTTAGCATGGGATATAAGTAGTCAAGCAAAAGTGATGATTGTGGAAGAATTACTGAAAAATAGGGAACAAGTCAGTGGGTTGATGGTTGATCAGTTGAATAAAGCTCAATGGAGGGTGAAATTGTATGCTGATAGGAAAAGAAGTGAAAGAGAGTTCTAGATGAGAAATGAAGTGTATTTAAAACTCCAGCCCTATAAACAAACCTCTTTGGCACTTCGAAAGAGTTTAAAACTTTCATTCACATATTATGATCTGTATCCTATATTAGCTAAGATTGGTTTAGTTGCTTATAAATTGCAGTTACTATTATTTCTAAGATTCATCCAGTGTTTTATGTCAGCTTGTTAAAAAAGAAGTTAGGAAATGAGGTAGTTCCTAGCCTAGCTCCACTAGAAACTAATGAGAATGGGCAATCACTTGTATATCCTACTGCTGTGATTGATAAACGAATGATTAAGAGGCACAATAGGGTTATTAGCCAACTCCTGGTGGTATGGTCCAATTTAGGGCCAGATAATGCAACTTGGGAAAACTATATAGGATTGAAGTCACAGTTTCTAGATTTTGATCCTTGGGAACAAGGATCTAGTGAAGGGGAAGGTATTGTGATGAGCTTGATGGAAAAGTGCAAAAGCTACATGAGCAAGACTATGGCAAAAAATGAACAGGAATCACTGAAAGATGAGAATGGGTGAATACAAGAAAGAAGATAGTGATGTTAGTTATTAATCTATTGGTTAGGAATACTCTACAATTTTGTATTTTTTTATAGTTTTGCATGATAGTTCCACAATAGCTGCATTTAAATATTTTATTGACTATAACTGATTTTCATGAATGAAAAAGATATTTCCTCCTCTCAATCCCTCTCTATTCTTTTCTTAGTCTTATTAATTTTTTCTCTGTTTTTTTCTTAGTTGCTAAAACTCTAACCAAGTTACAATTGATCGTGACATAGCAAGACTTGAAATAGTCAAGAATCTAAATTACATTTGAAATAGTATGATCTGTTTGCGAAGAATTTTGATTTGATTACGAAGATGATGAAAAGAGGAAGTGAGTTTGAGTGCTTTTATTTTAGTTTGATTAACAATGATTTTTACTTACGTGATGATGACACACTAGTTGCCAGATAATTATTATTTTTTATTATTTTACGTTTGAGTTGATTTTTTTTTAACATGAAAAACTGAGAATTAACAAAAATTTTCAATCTAAATAAAATTAAAAAATTCAAGCATTGTTCAACCCATATTCATAATATTATTGTAAAGGAAAAAAGTGCCGCAGCTTTAATCTAGTTTCTTACATTATCTTTAATAATAATTGTTGTCAGTGGATAAAAAAATTAAAATTTCCAAAAAATTGGCTTCCTTTAATTATTGTCTACGAATTGAATGTATCCCCATCTAGGGGAAAACCATGGTCTTAAGTTTAAGCAGTTGATGAAAAGCAGCATGGATTTCCATTCTATCTCTTGGCAATTCCTCTGAGCATGCCTCCCCAATTCTAAGTATTGAAATCAGACACTCATGCGTATAGATTTTAGGCGCTGCTGCTGCTGCTTCTCCCAAAACAAGTGTTGGATCAACGATCTCCTCTACTTTGTCAGGCAAAGACATCTTCACTAACTTGTGAAGGTTTAAACCATCCCTGAACATATCATCAGTCGGCCTTTTCCCTGTTAATACTTCCAGCACGAGGATCCCAAAGCTGTACACATCACCCTCTTTAGTTGCCATGCTTCCCATGCCATACTCTGTAAAAAAAAAAAAAAATTGATTTGAAAGTCAAAGTGCTTAAAATGCCTTTTCTAGAGATTATTTATTGCTTTCAAATTAGAGTTTGGCTAATTGGAAATCAAGGGTTAAAGGGTCTGATAATATTCTAGTTACCAGGTGCAGCATATCCAATAGTTCCTTTTAGTCCAACTGAACTATTGTGATCTGATATGACTTGAGGATTGCATTGAGGAATGATCCTTGCGAGGCCAAAATCACCCAGATGAGCAGTCATGTCATCATCCAGAAGGACGTTGCTTGGCTTTATATCACAATGTACAATCGGGATTTCACAATGGTTGTGAAGATAATCTAATGCTGCTGCTACGTCAGTGATTATATTTAAACGCTGACAAAGGCTTAAACTCCTTGGTTCCTCATCATGTCCAACATTCCCTGTTTCTAGATATGAATGCAACCAAGCCTCCAGACTCTTGTTTGGCATGAACTCGTAAACGAGTGCTTTAAACTCATTACCTTGGTAATCAACACTTGAGCATGCAGTTAAAATTTTGACAATATTTCTATGCCTGATGTTTCTCAAGGCTTCGCATTCAGCCAAAAAGCTCCTGGAAGCTCCTCTTCTTTGTAGATTTAGCACCTTCACAGCCACAGCTGTTTGATCTTTTTCGAGAACCCCTTTATAAACTGAGCCAAAGCTGCCTCCACCAATTAAATTGCCTGAAGAAAATCCATCGGTTGCCTTGAGAAGGTCCCCAAATGAAATCTTTATAAATTGATCCTCAGGCGAAGATTTTGACGAGGAACGCTTCCTTTGCTTCTTACACCAGTAGAATGACACAGCAAAAAGTACCAGAACCAATCCCAAAAGTCCACATATTAGGGAAATTGTTAGCTTGACTGCGAGGGACATTTTTTTCCCTCTATGCTTTTTGGGTAAGCATAATGGCAATTGTAATTCTGGGATACCTCCACACAACTTGTCATTGCCAGCCAACGAAACTGCGCTTGCATTACTGAAGACTCTTCCTACAGGCACATCTCCATGAAAATCATTGAAAGATAAGTTTAATTTCTGTAAGAAGGGAAACGTAGCGAAGCCTTTCGGAATTATTCCAGATAAGTTATTATGTGAAAGATCAATGTTTTCAATGCCCCTCAAAGAAATTAAAGAATTTGGAAGTTCTCCTGTGAAGCAATTATGGTCCATATAAAGATGCTGCAATCTTGCACAACTGCCAAGGCTACTTGGAATTTCCCCAGATAACTCGTTGTGAGAAACATTCAGTTCAACTAAATTTTGTAAGTTTCCCACTTCCACAGGAAGAGGACCAGTTAGACGGTTTTGAGCCAAGTTCAGAGATCTTGATAAAGAGGAGAGGCTGAGAATTTCTCGAGGTATGGTTCCATTTAATGCATTGCTATAAAGATGTAGAAAAATCAATTTCCGACAATTTCCAAGAGTTGAAGGTATGCTTCCCTGGAGATTGTTCTGTTCTAGCCAGAGCTGGCTCAGCAACGTGAGATTTCCAATGGAGGAAGGGATTTCACCTGACAATTTATTTTTACCAAAACCCGCTTCTATTAGCTTGTAAAGCTTACCAATGGATTCAGGGATGGCTCCTGTTAGCTGATTGTAATACATGGATAATGACTCTAAGCCAATGAGATTCCCAATATCATTGGGAATTTTCCCAGAAATTGGATTCTCTTCTATGCTAAAATATAGAAGCTTGGTTGAAAGATTGGCTAGGGAACTCGGTATTTGCCCCCCAAAGTTATTGCCACCTAGATGCAGTCGTCTTAACTGGCTGCAGTTTACCAGAGAGGTGATGAAGCTAAGGTCATCGGCTTGCTCCTTTCCAAGATTGTTAGAAAAAGCACCTAGCCATGACAATTTTTTTAGACTTCCCAAATTATCAGGAACGCCTCCGAAAAAATTGTTAATTGAAAGTTCAAGAATTTCGAGGTTTGAAGCATTTGATAATGATACGGGAATGATACCAGTCAATTGGTTTGCAGAAAGACGAAGCACTTTAATATTACATAGAGTTAGGCCCACGCTGTGGGGAAGGCTTCCTTGAAGTTGGTTAACCCGCATAAACAAAGTAGTAAGATACGAAAGATTATAGATGGATGGAGGGATCAAACCTGATAGTAAATTTTCTGCAACATTAAGAATGTTTAAGCTTTTAAGCTGGCCTATTGATTGTGGAATTCTTCCCCATAGCTCATTTGATTGTACTGATAGCACCTTGAGTAATGAAATGTTTCCAAAAGAATCTGGGATAGCACCCTTTAAATTGTTTCTGTCAGCATAAAATTCAACAAGATGTGATAAGGAACCAAGCTCAGCAGGAATATGACCAGTGAAGTTGTTTCCACTCAATTCGAGAATTCTTAAGTTGAAACAACTGGATAGATTAACTGGAATTTGTCCTCTTAACGAGTTGTTTGCCAAAACTACCCGTTGCAACCTGAACAGATGACTGATTTCTGGAGGAACTAACCCTTGGAAACTATTGTTTGAGAGATCAAGAATGCGAAGAAAACTAAGGTTACCAATTGAAGGAGATATTAATCCTGCCAAACCTTGTGAGTTTAAATTCAAGATGGTGACTCTTTGATGTCGAAGACTGCATGAAACTCCTTTCCACTGGCAAAAGTGGAGAGATTTATTCCATGACCTTGTGACCTGCATAGGATCCTTAGTTATCTTATCCTTGATGGCAAGCAACGCGACATGATCTGTCTCATTACCACTCAAGTTGGTCATGGTGCCACATATTACAGATGGCAGATTAAGGTACACGATACTCATGGTGCAGCATAAGAGAAAAGCAACGTGGGAAACAAATGGTTTCAATGCATTCATTTCAAATGAATATCTTGGCTTTGGCATCAGGCAGAAATGATTAATGCTGAATCAATCAATAACTAAGGGGCGGTTCAAGAACTTTTTAGAGGATGATCAGTTAGCCGCAGGATTTTGCCCGGCGTTGACTTATGCCGTGGTAGACGCCCAAAGATCTCACATCTAACATTTTCTAAAGTCATCACCCACCCATTACAAGTTTCAAAGGAGCGATGGGACCAGTTTATTTGAATTTTAATGTTATCAATCAATCTTTGCTCATTTGATTTACAATGTGACTTCAGAGTTATGGACGTCTGAGCCAGGTGGAATTTTGAGAACTCATAAAATGGAAATAGAAGCGTGGCAAACCAACCCTCAAAAGTCATAGTCAATGTCAAAGTCAATGTCAAAGTCAATGAAAGAATGAGATTATTCACCATTATTCTTTTTATTATAATCTTATAATTATCTAATTATATTAAAATTTTATATAAAAATCCACTACTTATAAATGTGAACTCTATATAAAATTTTAATAAATCTCACATAATTTTAAAATTTGAATATTAATTAATTATAACGGAATAATTATAAATGATATATTCATGATAAATGCTAATTTTGTAAATGCCCAAGAAAATGAAAGTATGACAATTAAAAAAGCAGCCCTTCAAAAATTATAGTCCTAATTTTAAATCCGTGCTATGATCCACAGGCAAAAAAATCGAGCATAATTTTTGTTACATACACTATTACTTAAAAATGAAATGATTATTTATCTTAAAAGATCAATATTTTTTATTTTAAAAAATATTATATTCATAATTTTGATAAAAAATTATATTTCATAATAATAGATGCTGCTAGAAATCTCATTTTAATATGGGTGGTATATATGTGTAATGATATAGTACTTAGGAAAACTTAATATATATAAACTTAATAATTTAATAAGTACACTTGCGTAATCTTTATCATAAAATTATAATTTAATAAATAAAATTGAATTATCTTACTTTTTATCTATAAAAATACAATACATACATTTTCAAAAGAAATTAAAGGGAAAATAATTAATATGCATTAAAACAAATACATATTTATTTGATCAATGAACTTTTAATCAAATTAGAATTTGAATTACTTAATTAAGAAAATAATTTAATTGCTTTAAGTAAAAAATTATTGGATATGAAAATCAATATTTATTGTAAGGTTTAATTGTTTTCTTCAAAATTAGAAAGATTATCCAAAATATTTTTTTCAAATGCAATTGTTTTATAGAATTTTTTTTTTTTGAGAAATTATAACATGAACATTTAACAAATTTTATAGAATTTCACTGGCAAAGAAAAATGAATATTTTGAAACCTATTTGGTAATGTATGTTTAGTACATGTAATTGTATGAATTAAAATTTCAAAATTAGAATGTCTATGAAATTATCAAAATTAAAAAGTGATAATGATAAAGAGTTTAGCTATGTTAGATGGATTAAAATTGTGATAGGTTTAAATTCTAGAATATGAGGAGAAATCAATTTATACCAATATAAAACGCTTTAATTTTACATCTTTTTTAATAATTTATTTTAAACTAGAAAAAATAGTTTAATCACTATCTCTTAAATTTATTGAAATCAATGATTAAAAAAATATATAAAACTAAAAAACTTTTATACTAATATAAATGAATCCTTTCTTCTAAAACATTATCCAATCATTAATAAATTCAAATCATTCCTCTAATAACAAAAAATATATATGATCATTCACTTATCTTATATAAATATATAAAAGATAAAATTTTTTATAAAAAAAGAACATATCCAATATGGATGGTCTATATTATTGATATGTAGATAATTTAAAACATTATCATGCATTTTTTAATAAGTTAATTACATTTATGTTTTATTATTTATCTTAAATCACTCTCAATTAATTTCATATTAAAGGTAATAAAACTTTAATTGTCATTATTATAGAATAATTTTGTGACCTTCTTTTCCAATTGTAAATATTCAACTCTTAAAATATATTTGAGTACAAAAAATTCGATTGCCAACATTTTAACCTATGACCTGTTTATTTACTTCACCATTTAAGTTATGTTATATATATATATATATATATATATATATATATATACACACACACACACACATTCAATATGTATATATATTATTTTAAAATAATTAATAAACAATTAAATCAATTAAAATTAATTTTGGTATATATAATATCAAATGAATTTCATTACTATTATCATACTAATTTCAAAATCTTTCCTTTTTCATTTCTCCCAAATAAGTTAATACACATTATGTTTGATTATTATAATTGTAAAGTATAAATTACTCTCAATTTAAAATACTATTATTGATCTTAATTTGGTTCTTAAACTCATTTTAATCAATTAGTCATTCAAAAATTATAAATCATTTCATAATTATTTTCAAGACCCCATCTTATAAGTAAGTGTGTTTTGGGATGCTTAAGAAAAAGATTATATCATTTCAATATTTTTTCTTATAGTCTTGATATTCCTTTTGTCATGGAGTAAAAATAGCTTAGGTTTTTTTTTCTTTGTGATGTTATATACGCAAGTGGATTAGATGCACAAAATTTAATATAATTAATTATTTCTTAAAGTTTTTTATTACTATATGTTTGGTTTTGTATTATTTTAGTTATTGCTCTATTTTTTTTCTTTGAGTGAAACTCTTCTAAATTCATGCTTCATCATAATCATATAATAAGTTATTTTTTTGAAAAAAAAAATCATTTTGAAAATATATTTCCTTTAAAATAATCTATTTGGGTTCCAAGAAAATTAAGCAAAATTTCTTGAAAATTTAATGATTTGGATTTTTTTTTAATGTTTTGACTATTGCTATTAGTTCTATTGCAATTTAAATTATAAATATATTTGTACATATTATTTTATACTTTTTGTTAGTTTTTATTACAGTATTGATTTGTATACCAAATCCCCATTATTCTTTTCTTTTTTGGATTATGAAACAAGAGAGCAAGTTAGGTGGTAGATTAAAAGAAAGTGATTGCCTATCACCTATCCTATCATATGTACTAAGCATTTTCTTTTTGTTTTTTTTGTATGAAATGATTTTTTTTGTTTTAATTATTAGATATGTTTATTGCTTTTACATTATCATTTTCATGATTTACCTAGAAGTGGAGCTTATTATTGTCCAACGTAATAATTAATGAAAATTGTTAAAAGTTGCTTTTAAATTTTATTTTTTGATATATAACAAGAATTAAAATTGTTAAAAGTAGCTTTTAATTTTCCTTTTTTTTAATATATAACAAGATAAATGTTATTAGGTTTATGGTAAGTGATAGCTATTGTCATAACGTTTAGGTTGGGAGAACCTATCCATTAGACACAAAAATTATGGAGTCACCACCAATCTTTTTTTTCTAAGTGTGATTGGCTACCTATATGAATCTATGCTTTTAAGGTTGTCTTAAGCCTAAACTAAGGATCCCTAAAAAGAATAGGTTAGTCTACATCAACAGAACTAAGGTTCAAAAGTCAGTTACATGCTGAAAAGTATTAGCACCGTTTTACACCCAAAATTAGTACCAAATTATGTGTTATTTTACCTAAACCTTAATAAAAAATGATTTTATCATACAAATAAATCAATTCCAATCCTTTTATTTATTTACAAAACATGGTGATATAAAAAGTCTATCAAAATATCAAACAATCATGCAATAAATATTAAATCATACCATGCAATAAATCATGCAATAATATAAAATTATATCATGCAATAAATCATATAATAAATAAAATCATATCATACAATAAATCGTGCAATAATATAAAATCATACCATGCAATAAATCATGTAATAAATAAAATTATATCATGCAATAAATCATGCAATAATATAAAATCATACCATGCAATAAATCATGCAATAATATAAAATCATATCATGCAAAAGTTATCATGCAAAAATATAATACCATAAAAATCATTCATGCAAATATACATAATCATACAATCAAATATAATCACACAAATGTCCTTCACCTCTTGGTTTAGTGGCTAAGATAAAGGTCCTGATTTCGAGTCAAGATCTCTTTCCCTTTCCCCTTTGTAAAGGCTATGCCCTCTCTTAAACCCAATATATATATATATATATATATATAATCACACAAATAAATATATTAATAATCATGCAATTAAATATATTAATAATCATGTAATAAAATATAATCATACAAATAAACATATTAATAATCATGCAAATATATTAATAAATCACACAAATAAATATATTAATCATGCAAATAAATATATTAATAACATGCAATCACACACATAAATATATTTGGCAAATAAATTATCATTCAAATATAATATTAATCATGCAAATACAATATTAGTCATGCCAATTCATGCAAAAATAAATATTATGTAATAAATATAAAAATAAGAGTAAGCAATTAAATATTATAAAAGTTATGAAAAAATTACAAAAAAAACATTACTTTAATGGATCACGGGTTCCAACAACTTTTCACCTTTCAAAAACTAATGCTTCCTACTATAAATTTTAGCCTTCATTCCAAAAACTCCAATCGAATCTTCTTGCAATTTTTTGCTTGAGTATTTTTTCATTGTTGATTCAAAACTTAGTCCAAATTTTCTCTCTTTTCAATGACCTTTGTTTGGTTTTAAAGTGAATTACTATAAGGCCCTCCTTTGATAACAGATTTAAGGTCCTTATATAGGGATTGAATTCCTTTTGATTGGAAAAAATTAATTCAATCGAATTAAGGATTTCTCTCCAAATTTTATTCTCTATGTAATCTTTCCTTTTGCAATAGATTAAGCTCTAAGTCTTTTCAAAATTATTCAACTATTAAAATTAAAATTAAAATATGAAAAAGAATTTAATAGTTGAATTGAATCCAAGATTT